GGCTCAGAAGATGCGGGATTGGGCTGTGCGGGTGCAGGAGGATTGGTGGGAATTTCTGGGGTTTGAGCACACATTTCACGGTGCGTAGACGATTCTACCGGCACTTTGTCGGTCTCGTCTGATGTGGGCATCGCAGGGTCGCGTCTCGTGGGCTGTGGAACGTTTGGAGCTCGGGGAGCAGGCAGATTGACATTTGTCTCTTCCCCTTCAATCGGCGTGCTCTCCGACTCCAGGACCTTGTCCTTATCGAAATAAATGTCGCGTTCCACTGTGACCTTTCACTTTGTGGGCCAGTAGATGCGGAAACCATCCTTGGTCTCGTCATCATACCCCACAAAGTGCCCCTGTGCAGTTTTATTGCTCAATTTGGGCGACTTGGTGAGTTTCACCCACGCTTTGACCCCCCACTCACGGAGATTAGCCAGGTTAGGCTTCTCCCCCGTGCCGACTTCATGCGGGGTCTTCGCGACTGGTAGCGTGCGCGTCGGGAGGCGATTACGCAACCAGACAGAGTGGCGGTAACCCTTGGCCCATAGGAACTTGGGGAGACCGCTCACGGTGAGCATTGCGCGCATGCATTCTGCGTGCGTGTGATGGCTGCACTCAGCGGCGCTGTTTTGCACCGGCGAGTTGTGCACCGTTAGGTGCCGAGCCGTGCCCTTTGACCGCAGGTGTTTTTAAATGCCTTGGACTTGAATTCGCCGCCCCTGTCGCTGCCGAAGATCTTAATGGTAGGGACCTTCTGCTGGACCTTGACCCAAGCCTCATATTCTTTGTAGCTGTCGAAGGTCTCGGATTTCTGTTTTAGGAAATAGGGCTTTTCCTCGTGCGAGTGCTTGTCCATGTAAGAGCATGCATAGTCCTTCCCACCCAAAGAAGTAACCTCCGCCGGCCCCCACAGATCCGCAACGACCTTGTCACCGTATGCCTTGCGGTGCTTGGTGCTGCTCTTTTTCGGGAAGCTTTTATGCTTCGCCTTCGCCTTCACGCACGGCTCGCAGAACTCGGGCTTAGAGTCCATGTCAAGCTCGACGCCCTCGACCATCCCCTTCCGCACCATTTCGCGCCCGTCGTCGAACCCGGCGTGACCCATCAGGCGGTGTAGCTCCATGATGGTCATTAGCCACGTACTGGTGGCGGCGGTAGGTGTGGAGTCGTTCTCGGGCGGTGATGGGACTGATGCGGTGATGCGGTACAGGCCTCGAACGAGCGGTATACGCCCAACGATGCGAGAGTCCGGACGCGGCATGCCTAGTACGCACCTCCCTTCCTCGAAGTGGATGATCCATCAGTGCCTGTGTGGGCTTCTCACCGTCACTCATCGGGAGAAGGACGAGGAGGTCCCCACGCCCGTGGCGCTGAATGTACAGCCATCGGCCGCTCGGATGGGGACAGGTGGAATCTCCACAAAGTTTCTGAAGCTGCTGCAGTCGGGGGAAAAGTGGTGCGTCGCGCCGGCGGCGATGAGGATATCTTTAGGTTTTGTGGAGGTGTCTGCAGCGGAGGCCTGAGCCTCGCCGTTGTCGCCCGCATCGGAGCTGATGAGGAGGGCACTGTCCCCGAACTCATCATCAATGGAGTCCGCAGAGATGGCGGTGCATGCAACATCGACATCGTCGTCGTCATCCTTCATGGCGCTATTAGCGCTCTCGGAGGCCTTTTTCTTTCCTTTGCTCCAGGGCGCCTGGCCCTCTTTTCCTCCCCCTTTCGACCAGCAGTCCCGCTTAGTGTGACCTGGGCAGCTGCAGTTGTCACATTTTACATCCTTCTTTGAGCCACCTCCGCGCCCGCCTCCTCCATGGCCCTTGCCCTTCCCGGATGCCGCCATCGCCATATCTTCGGCATTACTGGCAGAGTTCTTGTGAACGGTACTTTCATCCTCCGTCTCGTAGATCTCTTGGATCAACGCGGCACTGGTGATGGATCGTCCGGTGATGCAAGATGTGGTGCTGATCGCACTGAGGAGCGGACCGAATTTTTCGGCGGGGAGTGAGGCTTTGATGTACGCGGAGAACTGTCTGTCTGCTACGGGGGCTCCCATCACGTCGAGGGCCTCTTTGAGGTGCTGCATCTCCGTGATGTGAAGGATGACATTTCCGTCCTTGGGGCACCGCATGCTTTGCAGTCAGGTGAGCGTGTCGATTTGGACCATCTCCCCCTTGGCCTCGAAGATAGCTACCAGTTGCTGCAACATGAGCTGCGCCGTCGGCGCGCTCTTGATGTGCATGAATGTGGCCTCGGTCATGGACTGGTAGATGATCTCACGGACTTGTGCCTGCTTTTGCAGGTAGTCGTCCACTTTAGTTTCATGCTCCTCCAGCTCGTCATCGGAGAGGGGCGAGAGCCGATCCGCCAGAAAGAACTCGCCGTCTCACGTGACGAGCTCGGGTGGTGCTTTAGCAGTACCCACAGCGTGTCATCGGAGGCCTTTGGCGATGATGGTATTCATCGCGAGGTCTCGGTAGCTGATCCAGTTAGACCCGTCATCCTTGAGCTTCGGGATTCTGGTGATCCTCAATTGAGAGGTCGACGATATGCTGGAGTCCATTGCTGGGCCCATAACCTGTAGAGCGCAGTGCCGGAGGAGACTAGAATAATAATATAAGATCTCAGTAGGCGTATAACAACCAACTAATATATTAGTACCTAGAATAATAATATAAGCTAGGTAGAGTCAGTACGAGGTAAGTACGAATATAATGAGGGAACGTACATCTCAGTAGGCGTATAACAACCAACTGAGATGTACCACGTGAGTAGGAAAATTTTGTAGGTACTGTACGGCAAGTAATATAACTATGAATAGAAGTAAGTCCGTAAAGGTAAATGGCATAAGCTTGTACCTCAACACAGAACTCTAAAAACTATTTCATCACATCCACGGCTACAAGAGCAGGAGAATTCGGACCTCCCCGCAATATCCTCCAGTCCTCAGAAAAGCTACTTGATGGTGCTCGGAACCCCCTTTTTTTAGTAATGTCTCGCTGTCAACGAACCGCTCAGAGGAGCAGAAAGATGTGTACTGTTCCTGAGCAGGAAAAGACCAGCCTAAAAAGAAAGCAAAGGGCCCCACGAAGAGTCGAACTCCGAACCTTCCACAAAGACACATACCCAGACCCAAGGATACAGGAATGTGTTACCATTACACCACTGGGCCGCACGAGTGGGAATTAGGAGAAAGGCTAGAGCTTATATTCCGGTGGACCCCTAGTGTCCCGTTCTGATTTCTCCTGAGGAGTTCTGAGCGCTAGGATTCCACCTTCACCGAGGCGAGAGAAAGGAGGCGACCATAAAGCACTAGTTATTAAAAAGATGCTAAGATAGAGGAAAACGGCCTAATGAAGACTTGAATTCCGGACCCTCTGAAATAACGGTGCTCAGCTTCTACCATGTCGGAGTGCGTTCTATTATGCCATTAGGCTATGATGGGTATGAGGAACGGTAGGCCAAGTAAGGTGCTTCCTGGTACTGGAACAAGACACTGGGAGGCACGATGGAGCCAGCAATTCCTGGAAGTTCAACATCCCCGAGAACACCGAGAGGGAGGCAGGAATGCAAATGAGGAGAACAAGAGAACCAAGTGGCTAGGGCAATTGGAAGGCGGAAGAGCAACTGAGGCTCCAAGGGTTCCTGTGGGAGTATCGGAACCATGAAAGGGGCTATGCACACAGTGGGATGACTGTTTTGGGCAATAAGGCAGCATCGGAGGCAGGCGAAAGGAGGAGTATCATAAGTCGGAACTAGTCAGGAGCGTGGGGTGTGCACGGAATGACTTCTGAGGCGCTAGATATAAAAAGGTGCTGTAGTTTACAATGAATGTATCTCAGTTTGAGGCCCACATCTCCCTCTAAGTCATACCGACCAGGGAAGACAAGTGCACCACCCCACGTAGAACTCACAGGTCATTGGAGGTCTGGTTGCATGACGAACCGCTTCCATACCACGACATCGTCTACGACCTCGTCACGGTTTCAGCCCGAGTAGTCCTCCACTCGGCACCGTTTAAAGAATCCCCCTCTATGACTAAGTAGGGTAGTTGAAAAACCCTCAAGCGCCACCACCAACTGCCAACGGAGGTCGCGTGTGCAGATGCTAGCTGCAAAACAGATTAAAAGTGCCTTCAGCAAGCAACTTGAGACGGAAAGGAGTGTGAAAGGCTTCGTAGGGCATAAAGAAAAGAGGTAGAAAGGAAGGAGTTGAACGACCAAGGAACTACGCTACTTCTGCCCTCCAAGATTTACGATTTTACAAACCTCCAAGCTCGAATCAGCGAGTCAGAAGGATACGAAAAGGAGACATACCCCAGACGTGCAGGAAAAGGAGTCCACATCGCGTCAAAGAAGCCCTTCCTCTACTTCCGACTGTAGAGTGAGATCCCCCTGCATAAACCCAGAAGGCTAACTACTTCCGACTTCCATTGGCAGTAGTAGCACCCTCTAACAGACCTTCCGCTAGAGTTACCTATCTTTCTTTTTAAATACATTTTGCTGCAATCGCCCGGAGACTCTCAGCGACAGAATTAATTTCCCTCTAGAGGATGAGCCAAGTAAATTGCAAGGCCACTTGGTGTCTACAAGAACCGCAGTCCAAGCACCACACTCAGCAGGGTGTGCAACTGTCTGGCTGTCAAGCCAGGACAAGACAGAAATGCGATGCGACACGGAAGGCTAGCCCAAAATGGTACTAGTCCGGAAATGGCAACAGGATTGATGCCATGTCACGCCTGAGGGTAATGACGGTTGCGAAATGAAGAACAATGCCAAAGGGCAATAAGGAAAGAATAGGAACAAATAGGTAAAGGCCCGAAGGGCCGGAAGAAGATCTAAAAATAGATCAAGGCGTGGATGTGATGAAGGAAGTCAGAGTCACGTAGCTTGCACTTGCAATTTGATGGAGTGGCATGGAGGTCTTTTTAGTTCTGAAGTACGGTTGGTAGTCAATGGTCAGAACTTGGTTCCGTCTGTGTGTGAAATTCCTAGTTCTCAGAGGTATGGAAACGTGGCTCGGTGGCATAGTTGGTATCACACCCTGCTCTAGTGCTCTTGCACAAGTGCCTTTACAGGAGGTCCGGAGTTTGATTCTCCATCGAGCTGTTCCCACTCTGATCCAATCATTTCCCTTTTTATGTCTTTCCTGCTCTTCTTTCGTGTGCTGCACAATAGTGTAGTGGTAGCACACCCTCTGAATATGATAGAGCAGAGGGTGTCTGTCGGAGGGAAGTCCGGAGTTTGATTCTTCGTCGCGCCTTTTTCATACCTCCCTGCGGAATTGTGCCTAGTTTTGTGTGGAACCTCTTAGTTCTTGGAAGTATAGTCGACATAAGCCTGGTCGGAACCCTTAGTTTTCGACACCGGTGTCAGAAGTCTTCTGCTGTCTTCTCGTATAAGACGTTCATCAAGGATATGGATATTTGACTTGGTGGCGTAATGGTAATGCGCTCTGTGTCCTTATACAGCATTTGTATATCGTTGGATGGAAAGTTCAGAGTTCGATTCTCCGTCAAGCCATCTAAAATATTTCTTTTGTTGTCCTCAAGGCACAGCTCGGTGACGTAGCAGTAACACATTCTGAATTCCTATATAGGTGTTTCGTTCACGGAGGGAGCAGAGTTCAATTCTCCATTGAGCCATGGTCTGGATATGGTAGCTTTTCATCTTATTGTCGGATGTCCTATATCGGTTCTCGGAGTTTCGGTGTTTTGTAAAAGACGTTCATCGTGGATCCAGATATTTGTATTGGTTGGATGCTCAGTGGGAGTCATCACAAAGTGATGGCTCACAGCGCACAGGAAATTTATTCAGCTTAGAAGTAATCTGAGTCATACTGACTCAGGGATGAATAATGCTGAGTAAATGCTTACAGAGCTGCTGAATAATGCTGACAATAGAATTACTCAGCACACAAATGGGGAGTAAGTAGGTTCAATATGGGAAAAAGTTCTCATAGGCAAAAGGTATATAAGGAGGGCTGCAGAACATAATTTTTCACCACTACCTACCAGTTGTATTTAGTCACCATTAACTTCAGACTCAGAGTTCTATTCATACGCACGCTCCAGCTCCTAAGTGCCGTTAGGAACATCTACCGAGCAATTGAGCCTCTGAGACTTCAATTTACACATACAATTCACAAGGCCATACATGAAGTGCCGCCACCGCCACAGCACTGAGAGACTGTTTTACAAACTTCATTAGACAAGCCCCACCATAGTAAAGCGCACCGCGGTTGTTAACGAATCCACAGAGAGACCCCTTTTCCAATTAAATTTACCACACCAACACCTTCCGACTATACGTTGGTTTGCTTGAATAAAGTCACTTCCAGCAACCTACATAGGAAACAAGTTTTCCACATGACAGCGGCCAAGGGCGGATGTGGGTCGGCTTTGCAACCACTACAGAGGCTAGATGTGTGTTCAGTGTGTTAGTGGGGTTAGGCGTGGATATCCGAGGTTCCTTTGGGACAGACAGGGGCTTCCACAATGCCTTCACATACAGCTGAGACCACTGGACATTGGAGACATTGGAAGAGGAAGCCATGCCAGCAGCTGCGCTGGTCACCCACCAAGAGAGCGAGCCTGTCAGTGAGCACTTCAAAGCAGCCCCTGATGCGCTGATCTCTGGGTCCATCAAGTACTTTGCAGCTGCTCCAGACCTCGCACCTATTGAAGCAGCAGAGACGATGTCTGTGCAAGCCTCGAATGTGCATTCCCCTTCTCCAATTTCTGACTCCTATGAGCGCTGTGAGGGCTGTACACGTGTTGCGTGTGCCCTCGCGCCACTGCATCCACAGAACAAGACCAATCACCTGATTTGGAAGTGTCAAGAATCCGCATATGGAAACTTCTCCAACCATGCTGGTTCCCTCACCACGACCAGGACCACATCCACACCCGACGACGACGGCCCCCTACGTAGCACGACTCATCCACACCTACGCTCTCATCTTTGGCACCCGTCCACGCCTGCGCTCTCGCCCTCACGCGTCACCACTCGTGGCCTCCACCCTCGTTTCTACGGGATATCGCCACAGCCTGGGCCCGTATCCAGGGTACAACTATAAAACCACCCCAGAATCCAGGATACGATCAATATTCACCCCAAAATTCAACACCTTACGCGGTCCCCACAGGCATTCAGCCCACTTTCACATTGCATATTCAAGCACACTGTTCAATTGTTAACCTGAGCTGCACTTGGGGACACCCTTGCCGCACTTGGGGATGCACTTGCAGCACTCGGGGCATCCACTTTTTCGACCTAATTTTGGTCTTAGGTGGCTGTCCTTAACAGCTGAGGGTCGTCCTGCTCCATTCTGGGCCCTTGCAAGGATGTCGGTTGGATGCGCCATCAAGTGCCTGTCGCTGGAGGAACACATAACAGGGCCACCGTCGATTTGTCCCAAAGTGCTGTGGACTGCGCCAAGACCGAGAGTGCTGGTGCATCGCCTTTCCTCCGCTGTCCCTCTCACTGCAAGGATATCCCACTCTCAATCAGGGCCCTTGAGTACTCACATGCCTGCTCTTGCCAAGCACCTGTCTGGCTTTCCTGCAAGCCTCTTCTAGCGGATCTCCCACTTGCCGCCTCTGCATGACGAACACCACAAAGTGCATGCATTTCGCTGGCTCCAGGGATTGTGCTTCCACACTTGCCCTCACCTGTGCCATCCCCTTCTCTCTTGCGCATGAAGAAGAAGAAAGTGTGCTGCAGCAAGTGTGGCGGACAGCAGGCGTGCAAACAGGAGGAAATAAAGGCAAAATGGCACAGAAGTGGAGGCTATGGCACATGAGGCGGAGGCCACCAGCAACCCATCTCTACTCTCATGGGTGGTGACATTAGAAATGGTTGGAGACCTTGAGGTGGAGGAAGCGGGGGCCAGCTGGGCTGCAGATGAGGACGATGATTTGGACATCAGCCCTGCCATTGCAGGGCTGTCATGGTGCAGATAGAATGTTGATGGACAAAGCTATGTGGGGGCTCTGTGACGCCTACCTACATTTTCTTCTCAATTACATGGCCTGGTGCCCATAATATACTTATGATTTGCTCTACTTACAGTTACTCAATTGTCTGGTCACGTGTACATATTAGCTAATATATCTGACTTTACTCTTTACTACAATGGCGTGAACAACAATTGCGAGGGAACCCCCTAGACCCGCTGGATGCCTAAGCATGCGTAAACTGCTCCCTGCACCCCTGGGTTACCTGGGGTTCCTATTAAGGGTGACACAGTCCCTCGCTGATGGGTTACAATGGCAGCAGCGCCTGAGTTGGCAGCCCCACCTCTTCTCCTAACTTAGCAATGCTGAGTGCCTAAGGCTGCTCACATCGTTAACCTCTTCTTCAGTCCTTACAAAGCCATACAAACCTGTGCCACATCACAGGCTGAGAGGAACTGCAATGTGATGAAGAGCATTTCCGCTTGAGAGATGCTGTAGTAGACATTTAAAGGGTCTTCACAGTAGAGGGAATGAGTTAGGGACATGGTGGTCAAGGAAGAAGAGCTATATGTCATGAACACAATCAGTAACAGGATTTATTCCCAGGTCAGTGTGACAATGATTTGATATCAGAACAAGGAATCTGTTGTTCTGGTAGCTGGCAAGGCACTTGTCCATTCTTCCAGCCAATGGCGTGCTAAAAACTATCATGAGCCAAATGAAATTACTCAATAAAGGCCAAGGCACAATTTAGGCTTGTACTGATATGGCCTAGAGTAGCAAGTTTAATGAGCTTGGATGAAGGTTGGAGAAAATATTAGGGCACACATTCAGCTTCACATAAAAGGATCATGCTCTGGGACAAAACAATCTGCATAAGTGAATATAAAGCCCCAGTAGTGTTTGGGTCTGTTATATCCCAAGTTGATATCGGAATGATCTGAGGGGTCGGAGGTTGGCCAATGATCGGATGATCGGAAAGGTTCAGATCAATAGCAAACACCACAGGACCGCTGGCACTATCCCAGTTCCTCCAATCTGCAACGCAGGTGTTGTCCGATCTTTGCCAGCAAAGTCAGCTATTATCCCAGGTGAATGAATTGTGTTCCGCTCCAGAAAGACTAGCTGACAATGATGAGCAGCGCCCGTTGCAGCAGTCTGAAACCCAAGTGCAACAGCCCTGTTCTTCTCAGAAAATAGACTCTCTGTGGCTTACGACTCCTTCACTTCCACGGCCCTCTCTTGGACTTTGAGAACTATCAGATCTCCATCATAACAGTCACTGCCTCCTTTGCTGCATTCACAATCTCAGCCTTTGTCTGAGCGTCCCCGTGTGGCACCATCGGCTCCCTCGGCTCCCTCACTAGCAACTAACATGTATTCAGCTCCTCCAAATGAGTCCCTCTTGCTGAATGTGTTTGCATTTGATGCCTTGCAAGTCTCTTCTTTTAACAGTGTACATTTGAAGAGGGACCACTTGCCGTCACTGTGCATGGAAGTAGCAAGCGAGCCAGACTTGAATCTCCGTATTCTTCCCTGTTGGTCATTTCACATGTTGCCAGCTTCATGATGACTCCCTTAAAGCGCAGAGCCAACTTCCCTGCTAGCGGTCCCACTGTGCAAGGAACATCTGACTCCTGTACCCCACTGGCATGGGCCCTGTCACTGCCATGCTGCTCGCTCGTACCTGACTCTCCTGCCAATGGCTTGTTCTCCCTGACTGCAGCTGTGTCTTCACACAATGTAGATCAGATTGACGCTGCACCAACTTCCCTGAAGCGACAGCTCTCACCATTGCCTACGCATGGAAGCAGCAAGTGGCCTAGACATGAGAATTCACATTCTTTGCCCTCATTTATGTTGTGTGTTGTCAGCTTTGTCACGTCTCCCTTCAAGGTCGGGGCCAGCTCCCCCCACACACACATCAGCTTCGCAAAGCACATCTGGCTCCCATCCCCCACCCTCACCAAATGCATTGTCACAATGTCCCTCTGCTCCTCCTCAGCCTGCGCAAGGAACTACAGTGGTGGAAACAGAAAGCAACGGTGTCTATACCAGCGATCTGCTCAGATGATGTGGCTTGATCTTCAACCTCACTGAACGTGTAGTGATCTGCCTAAAATGCAAATCAGGCTACCTGCTCCAGACAGC